AGGGAAATTATTTTCTAAGCTCTGGAGCTGGCTTTCCTCCTCGCGAGTGGCTGATTTTCCCTGCCATATCTGCAACGTGAAAAATCATCATTACGTTGATTAGAATGAAAACTTTTATTTGACTGAACACGACCTACATGAATTGAAAACAAATCAGGCAATATTTACCTGTCTGTGAACTCCGCTAGGGAAAATCAGGACGCCGAGCGATCTGTTTATTCTTCGGTAGGTGCTTCAGGTTTTTCCTGTGCACAGCTGTTGATATATCGCCTCTATAGTGGCACAACGCTGCAACTGCAGTTAAAATACATCGCTGCCGCAGAGGAATATCAATCGCTCAATCAGCACAGCTGGAGCTTTACGCTGTATTGACCAATATCAATCGGTCTGGCTGGGTGCGGCACAAAATTATCTGGAGGCGGCCGCCACGTAATTTTGAACGGAGGAAAAACCTTGGTTTCAGTAACGAGGTGCACCCGGAGTTCCTCAGTAAAAATGTAACTAAATATCTGCGATGGTGGGCGCATTTGAAATAACCCTCGGGCATTTGAGTGGTAATTATATGTCCTCCATTCCGTTTCAAAGCCTTCGACGTCCTGATTGTTTACAAACATGTCTTAACCATTCAGTGGGGAGAACAAGTATTTGATACACTGCTGTTTTTTGAAGTGTTCCACTTACAAAGAAGGTAGAGGTCTGTAAAATCCCAAAAATCACAGTCGATGATTTTTAAATAATTAATTTACATTTTATTGCAGGACATAAGTGTTTGATGCATCAGACAAATAGAACTCAATATTTGGTACAGAAACCTTTGTTCGCAACTACAGAGATCAGACGTTTTGTATAGTTCTTCACCAGGCTAGCACACACTGCAGCAGGGTTTTGGCCCACTCCTCCATACAGATCTTCTCCTGAGTGTTCAGGTTTCAGGGCTGTCTCTGGGTAACACGGACTTCCAGCTCTCTCCAAACATTTTCTATTGGATTCACGTCTGGAGACTGGCAAGGCCACTTCAGGACCTTGAAATACGTTCTACGGAGTCACTCCTTCGTTGCCCTGGCCGTGTGTTTCGGGTCGTTGTCATGCTGGAAGACTCAGCCACAACCCATCTTCAATACTCTTACTGAGGGAAGGAAATTGTTGGCCAAGATCTCACGCTACACGGCCCCATCCATTTTTGTTTTCGAGTCTGTCCCTCGTGGTTGAAGAGTACCTTAGGTACAAATTACAGATCTCTACCTCCTTTGAAAGTGGGGCAACTTAAAAAATCAGCAGTGTATCAAATACTGTACTTCTTCACTCCACTGTATATCACGATTGACTGGTGCCACTGGTTCAAAGACCACAAGCGCGTCATAAAGTCGCATTGGCTCCCTCTGTGTTTTGGGATAAATTTTAAGGTTCTTTTACTGATTTATAAAACTCTTAATAGTCCTTCTTATTCATCTGATTTGCTTTTACTTTATCAACCCTTGTGTAACCTGGAGTCCTCTGACACTGGCCTTTGAACAATCCCAGAAGTTAAACTCCACGGTGAGGCATTGTTCAAAGTTTACGGCACACATTTGTGGAATGGCCTGCTGGAGAACGTTGATATTTTAAAAAGAGACTCAAAAGACCCACCTTTTTAGTTTAGCATTTGGCTGATTTTTATTATTTGGTTTATTTATTTTTATTATAGTTATCTTTTGCTCATTCATTTTATTCAGACTTATGTTTTTTTTTTTTTTTTTGATACAAGGTCGTCCTTATTTTGGTTATTTTGTCATTTTCCTATTCTGTTTTAGGTGTTTGATACTCATGCCTTTGGCTCCACATCATCTTATTCTGTTCTTAATTCATTGTTTTTACCTTCATATTATCTTATTTAATGCTGTTATAACTTCAGTGTTCCCCACTGAGGGCCAGCAACACTCAGAGCTATGTTTAACTCTGGTTGGGTTGGTGCCCATGGGGAGGTCCTGGCTCAGCGGAAGAGGGACCCCTCCGTCTGCCTGAGTTGGGATTGCCCCTGTGTTGAGGTCCCTGCAGCTGGAAGCTGGGCATTGTGACTGGTGGGGACGCCCCCATGAAAATGGCGTATCCTCACTCTTATTGCCTGCGCTCAGGCATGTTTTTAGCCATTTATTTTTAGTTAATGGTTTAAATGTGCTTATTTGGGGGGGGAGGTCCGTTGGCTGGGTGAATAAAAAAAAAAAAACACAATAGGGACCTCATAGCGGTCACTGCTCGGGCCCGAATAATACGTGCTGTTCTTGAATACTTAATGAGGCATAACGTAATATAAGACAGCGATTATTTGTTATTTTTGCACTATCAAAATTCATTCTTATTATTACTGATCTCACCTCCATATTGCCATTAACTTGTCCTGCGACATGTGTTGGGAAACTACATCTTGAAGATTTTTGTTCTGTCTGTAATAATCTCTTTGCACGGGAAGCACAATGAGCACTCTGTGGTTCATGTCCACCTGTGCTGCTGTCTTGTCCAGGGAAATTATTTTCTAAGCTCTGGAGCTGGCTTTCCTCCTCGCGAGTGGCTGATTTTCCCTGCCATATCTGCAACGTGAAAAATCATCATTACGTTGATTAGAATGAAAACTTTTATTTGACTGAACACGACCTACATGAATTGAAAACAAATCAGGCAATATTTACCTGTCTGTGAACTCCGCTAGGGAAAATCAGGACGCCGAGCGATCTGTTTATTCTTCGGTAGGTGCTTCAGGTTTTTCCTGTGCACAGCTGTTGATATATCGCCTCTATAGTGGCACAACGCTGCAACTGCAGTTAAAATACATCGCTGCCGCAGAGGAATATCAATCGCTCAATCAGCACAGCTGGAGCTTTACGCTGTATTGACCAATATCAATCGGTCTGGCTGGGTGCGGCACAAAATTATCTGGAGGCGGCCGCCACGTAATTTTGAACGGAGGAAAAACCTTGGTTTCAGTAACGAGGTGCACCCGGAGTTCCTCAGTAAAAATGTAACTAAATATCTGCGATGGTGGGCGCATTTGAAATAACCCTCGGGCATTTGAGTGGTAATTATATGTCCTCCATTCCGTTTCAAAGCCTTCGACGTCCTGATTGTTTACAAACATGTCTTAACCATTCAGTGGGGAGAACAAGTATTTGATACACTGCTGTTTTTTGAAGTGTTCCACTTACAAAGAAGGTAGAGGTCTGTAAAATCCCAAAAATCACAGTCGATGATTTTTAAATAATTAATTTACATTTTATTGCAGGACATAAGTGTTTGATGCATCAGACAAATAGAACTCAATATTTGGTACAGAAACCTTTGTTCGCAACTACAGAGATCAGACGTTTTGTATAGTTCTTCACCAGGCTAGCACACACTGCAGCAGGGTTTTGGCCCACTCCTCCATACAGATCTTCTCCTGAGTGTTCAGGTTTCAGGGCTGTCTCTGGGTAACACGGACTTCCAGCTCTCTCCAAACATTTTCTATTGGATTCACGTCTGGAGACTGGCAAGGCCACTTCAGGACCTTGAAATACGTTCTACGGAGTCACTCCTTCGTTGCCCTGGCCGTGTGTTTCGGGTCGTTGTCATGCTGGAAGACTCAGCCACAACCCATCTTCAATACTCTTACTGAGGGAAGGAAATTGTTGGCCAAGATCTCACGCTACACGGCCCCATCCATTTTTGTTTTCGAGTCTGTCCCTCGTGGTTGAAGAGTACCTTAGGTACAAATTACAGATCTCTACCTCCTTTGAAAGTGGGGCAACTTAAAAAATCAGCAGTGTATCAAATACTGTACTTCTTCACTCCACTGTATATCACGATTGACTGGTGCCACTGGTTCAAAGACCACAAGCGCGTCATAAAGTCGCATTGGCTCCCTCTGTGTTTTGGGATAAATTTTAAGGTTCTTTTACTGATTTATAAAACTCTTAATAGTCCTTCTTATTCATCTGATTTGCTTTTACTTTATCAACCCTTGTGTAACCTGGAGTCCTCTGACACTGGCCTTTGAACAATCCCAGAAGTTAAACTCCACGGTGAGGCATTGTTCAAAGTTTACGGCACACATTTGTGGAATGGCCTGCTGGAGAACGTTGATATTTTAAAAAGAGACTCAAAAGACCCACCTTTTTAGTTTAGCATTTGGCTGATTTTTATTATTTGGTTTATTTATTTTTATTATAGTTATCTTTTGCTCATTCATTTTATTCAGACTTATGTTTTTTTTTTTTTTTTTGATACAAGGTCGTCCTTATTTTGGTTATTTTGTCATTTTCCTATTCTGTTTTAGGTGTTTGATACTCATGCCTTTGGCTCCACATCATCTTATTCTGTTCTTAATTCATTGTTTTTACCTTCATATTATCTTATTTAATGCTGTTATAACTTCAGTGTTCCCCACTGAGGGCCAGCAACACTCAGAGCTATGTTTAACTCTGGTTGGGTTGGTGCCCATGGGGAGGTCCTGGCTCAGCGGAAGAGGGACCCCTCCGTCTGCCTGAGTTGGGATTGCCCCTGTGTTGAGGTCCCTGCAGCTGGAAGCTGGGCATTGTGACTGGTGGGGACGCCCCCATGAAAATGGCGTATCCTCACTCTTATTGCCTGCGCTCAGGCATGTTTTTAGCCATTTATTTTTAGTTAATGGTTTAAATGTGCTTATTTGGGGGGGGAGGTCCGTTGGCTGGGTGAATGTCAAGAGGAGGGAGTGCGTGGGTGGCACGTAAGGTGGGGGCAGAGGGTCTTTATTTGTTGTCAAGTTTTATTGGTTTATTTTAAACTGAACAGCACTTTGAATGTTGTATGATCAGGTGCTGTCCAAATAAAGTTGACTTGAGTTGAGAATTGATAAATCAGGGACAATCTTACCTGTACATAAACAATACAATAAGCACCCTTTGTTGGTCTTTCTTTGGAATGTTTCCTCATTTTGGTCATCCTGCACTTTAGAATAGTCTGGTAGTAGTATTTTTTCAGTAATTAATAACTGTTGATTTCTGTTTTTGCAGGCTTACATAAATCAAATAAGCAGCCAGCACCATATCTGATCCATGGTGCCAAAGTTATCAACGGAGCTTTCAGAGCATGGACAAAAAAGCAGGTATGAACACAAAGGGTTGGATACATGTTGTCTATCATGTTTTATTTTCGAAACATTTTAATATGTATTTTTCCTCTTCGAAGGCCCTCTTAGAACATGAAGATGAGCTTCCAGAAAACATGAAACCCTTACAGCTCATCAAAGATCTTGCCAGAGAGATTAGAATCTCAGAGGTACTTGTATTGTTTGGTCCAAAGATTACACAATATAAAAAATTAAACACAATGGCAGGCAGTGTTTTTTGGACCTGAGCCTTCAGTGGGTATTTTAAGTTACCTAATCCACCTCTTAATAACATGATCACATTGTAATGTAAAAAATCTCGGGGTGTGTATCCCTCCACAAAAAGATGACATGTGGAGTGCAAAACGATGCAAGGATGGTTTGATTTGAAACTGGAACGATTTGATTCGGTTCGACTTAGCGGGATTACAATTCGATTTGCTAAAATATGGCTCAGTTCGAGAGGTAATGACGTTTTTGTTGACATGTTACATAAATTTGATTTAATTTGTCAGTACTGTAAATGTGCAATTACCCTCTAAAATATCTCTTTACCTATATCACTCTAAAATGAAGCAATAATCGTGTCATCTCTTGATCAGTCACATTTGCAAGTAGCGATGATGCTAACGCCGTTTGTAGTAACATTACTTAAAAATGATTGTTTACATTAAAAGGTGTATTTATTATTCCTTTTTCTTATTTCTTAGTAGTTCACTGTATTATTTGTACTACTTTTGTTGCACTGTTGAATAAAACTCTATGAAATGAATGAAAAAAATGCATGTTAGAAAATGTTAAATTACTTGATAATTATGTAATAATTACCAGTGCTTTAAAAGTGGCAATTTCAAAGGAATGGAAATAATGGTTGCCCGTCCACGAACAGCACATACTTGTCTCAACTGGTCCGTGACACAAAAAAGGTTGGGGACCGCTGCCTAAGAGAACCCCACTGGCTTATTGAACACTCCATAGGGTAACTTCAGTATATAAACTATAACCAGCTTGTTAAAACCAAACTAATCAATTACTTTCAAATGTAAATGTCCTGTTGGTTGATTTATGTAAAGATGATTCAGTCATTGCTCTGTTTCTGTCTCAAGAATGCGACTAAGGCCATGAAGAGTGAGGTGCCATTGGAGGGCCCTCCATCACCCCACTCTGATCCTGAAGATCCTGTTTCACCAGCTCAGGTTCCCTCACCGAGCTTTGAGATAGTCAGAAAGAAAGTCTACAACCCTGCCAAACCCCATAGGCCACATAACCCCCCAAAGTCGACCATGACTCCGAAATCTCCGAAATCACTCAAGGCCAAAGACGGCGATAAGAAGAAAATTATAAATATACAAGATTCACCCCCTCCACCAAAATCCTCTAGTTTCAAAGCTCTGGAGTCCCATGCAAAGGACATCTTAAGTAAGATGGAACAGCCAAAGAAGCCAAAGGTAAGCAGATTGGCAGATTATTATGATTATTTTTTTTTTCAGTTTAGTACAGTTAATAAATTGTTGGTCCACTTCTGTCAAAGGAAAAAAAAACAAGTGGTCACTGAAATAACTTATCATTGGAAAAAAAAAAAGAACATGCAAACTCCACTCAGGAAGGGCGGGGCCCGAATCAAACCCATGACCTCGGCACTGTGAGATAAACATGCGCACCAATCGACCACTGTATGTGTGTGTGTGTGCGTGTGTGTGTGTGTGTGTGTGTGTGTGTGTGTGTGTGTGTGTGTGTGAAGGTGGGCATGAGCACTGGAAATCGAATATTGCACTCCAGTTTAAGTCAGTCATCGCACTTTTGCGCAGCAAAGCATATTGCCACTCAGTCAGTCAGCCTCACTGCGGTCAGGCCAGCCTCAGTTCGAAGTCAAATCAGCCGCCACAGTGATTGCTTACGAGGGCCAACTTCAAAACAAAAGTTAGGTCAGGCATTGTTATTAGTGGATAGTATGACTTGTGTGATGGCTGGCTTTACTTGGCCGGCTTCACTTGGCTTGCTCCCGACTAACTTTATGTTCGATGTGAGAACAGTGGCCCAATGCGCACAGTAGAGCCACCAGTGAAACGGTTATCTCCATGTCTCTGCGACACGGCTTCGCCAGTCCATCAAAATACGTTCTGATGTACTCGTGGTCTGTGGTGAAAAAAAAAAAAAAGAGTGGACCCGTCACTGCGGATGGCTGCCCCAGAGAACTCTGCTAGTTAGCTCATCATAGGGTTTCATACTGCACATCAGAAGTGAGCAATTTGTTTTTCATATGGCCATGCACCTTGTCTTAAATATTAATTTAATGTCATACAGCAATATTGTGATTGTTTTATTGCAATACCATTGTGTAGCCCTGGTATAATTAGGGCGCGAGCAGTGAACCTTGCAAGTTGACTATTGTTTATCTAGAAATTATTATTCTTATTATTTACTATTATTAAAGTCTCAGCAGTGACCATTGTGATGTCCCTATTGTTTTTGTAGAAATTATTATTTTTATTATGAGGACCCGATCAATGACTGCTCTGAGGTCCCTAATGTTTTTGTAATTTTTTTTGACCCGAAAAGAGTTGTATTTTGGGGGCTTGAGCATGTTAGAAATTTAGCACAGTCATTGAGCCTGGTGAAAAATTTTGTATTTTAAAGTTGTCAAAAACGGTGAAAACAAAATGGCTCTGTTGTGCCGCCTACTGTGAAAAAAAAAAAACAATCCTGGTACATTTGACCTAGGCCTAGGAAAATTGGCAAGGCATGTGTAGCACGCCGAGATGTACAAAAAAGTTCATTGCAGCGACATGCTAAAATGAACAGGAAGTGAATTATGAATTTTTGAATGTCAAAATTTTGCCCATAGATAGATAGACATATTACAGGTACTGAGGCCTAAGTGGAGGCTCAAAGGGGATCAAGACTTTTCCGTTGCTGGTCCCTTTGGAATGACCTCCCGCTGAATGTTTGGCAAGCTCCCTCGTTGCCTGTCTCTAAAACTTGTCTTCAAACTAATTTTTATTCTTTGGATTTTGACTCAGCATCAGTCTTGATTTTAGTTTTACTGTTTTTGTGCTTCTTACTGTCTTTTTATGCATTAGTTTTCTTGTATAGTTTGCTTTTTATTGTCTTTGTTGTTCATTTGTTTTATTGTTTGTTGTCTGAATAATTTTTTAAATGCTATATACAGTATATACTGTTGAGTTGATTAAAAAAACTAACAACACTTTTACCATATTCGACAAAAAAATATTGTAACTCTGCCCTTGCTTCACAGAACAATGATGGATATATCTATCTATCTATCTATCTATCTATCTATCTATCTATCTATCTATCTATCTATCTATCTATCTATATCTATATATCTATATATCTATAAATATATCTATCTATATATATAGAGAGAGAGAGAGAGAGAGAGAGAGA